TGTAGATCAAACCACTGTGATCCATAGGGTTTTCATTGATCATCAGGCCTTTCTTCCCAGTCCGTCTTCTTCTAGAAATGCCACTGAAACTTGTTTAGCATCACAGCAACATGCAAGTTCCTACTGACAGATGAGTGGTGGCTGCATTGGCCAGCAACTGAAACCAGGTCTCACACAAGGAAGGAAAGAATTCTACCACTGAACCACAACTGCCCTCTCTATTATCCCAAAGCTCCTAATTCTTTTCCCAACATTCCTAATTTCAAGGTTGTATATTATATATATTATACTATATGAGTTGGAATCGACTTGATGGCAGTGAGTTTGGTTTTTGTTTATCTACACACATGTATTCTAAGAAGTCTTGATAGTGTAATGCTTAAAGCATTCAGTTGCTAACCAAAAGCTTGGCAATTCAAACCCACCAACCACTCCATAGGAGAAAGATGAGGTCTTCTGCTTCCACAAAGATTTACAGCCATGGACATCCTGTGGAGCAGTTCTGCCGTGTCCTATAAGGTCAGTATGAGTGGGAATCAACTCAGTGGCAGTAGGTTTAGTTTGGCTTGGTTTTATGTATGTGTGTGTGTATGTATACATATACACACATGTATATATATGTATGTGTGTGTATGTGTGTGTGTATATATACACACACACACCCACAATATATTATATTATATTATGCAACCTTGAAATTAGGAGAGTTGGGATAAGAATCATTCTCTCCTAAGCAGAGTAAAAGGACCTTTGGTGGTGTAGTGGTTAAGCATTTGGCTCCTAACGAAAAGGTCAGTGGTTTGAACCCACCAGCTGTTCTGTGGAAGAAAGATGGTGCAATCTGCATCTGTAAAGATTTACAGCCTTGGAAACCCAGTAGAGGTCACTATTAGTTGGAATTGACTCAATGAAAATTCTTTTGGAAGCAGAGTAAGGGGAGGGAAAATGTTGTAAGACGAGTCCATAAAAATTTAAACAGCTATTCATCACTCTTCATACATGGTGGCAGACTGAACAAATTTCGTCCTCTCTTCTTTACATATTCTACATAGGAGCTATCAAATTTTGGATACATAATCCATATTAAGCCTTCAACTGCTTCAAAGTATAACAAGACCTTAAGCATGTTTCCTAAGTCTCCAGTACCAGTGAATTTGTAGTTTTATAAATATCATGGTGAACAAGAAATGCTGTCTTGTCACATTCAAGCCAAATAACAGCTGGACTTTAAAAATAAAATTTTGAAGGCATTTGCCTTTTATATTTTTAATTTCTGTTTTCCTTGTATATGGTTTTGTCATTTGATTTTGATGAGTGGTTAATACGCATGCACAGCTGCCTCTTTTGGTGACCTTTCCCCCACTGCCTCCATGCCCATGGCTATGAAGCAGGTCTATAAATTGCTTACTAAGTGATACTGTCATTTTCAGGATGGGCAGCCTGACTGGAACAGGGTCTCATCTTCTAGGCTGATTACTTCAGTTACTATAGAAGCTCTACAGACAGATGGGGTGGAAGTGGAGGAAGGGTACAGCCGCCTCGAATTGCTGTTCCAAACCCAGAGGAAACCTGGAGATGACCATGTGTGGATTAGAGCCACAAAATTCCCTGTCAATTGAGATTACCTAAGTAGGTATTTGCCCAGCATGCTGGGTAAAGTAGAGGGTCAGCAAAAAAGAGGAAGACATTCAAAAAGACAGATTGACACAGTGGCTGTGATGATGGGCTCAAGCATGGCAATGATTGTGAGCATGGTACAGGATTGAGTAGTGTTTCGTTCTGTTGTACGAAGGGTCACTATGAGTCAAATCTGATTTGAAAGCACCTACCAACAAGTAGGTTTTGCCCTGAGTTGTCTGTGGCAGCACAAAGAAGACCTAGTCCAGATCTTAACAGCACTCTTCTCAGTAATAATTATGCAGTTATGTATTTTCCTTTTAATTTCCTATCTTCCCTCACTAGACTGTAAGCTCCAAGAGGTGAGGGACATACCTAGTTTGCTTTCCATAGTATACTCAATGGCTAATTCAGAGACTGGCACATAGTAGACACTCAGTAAATGTTTCCTGAACCATGGACTAACTGACTGAATGAATTTCTTAGTTATTCTTATACGTCACTCCAATCTTCTTTTTAAGGGAAATATGAGGGATCAGAGTGAAGAAAGGATTATGCATACCTGTTATCTCCATTGATTTTAATAAAAACTGTAACTCCAGCAAGCTTTGCAATCAGCTTACACTTGAACAGATGCCAGGAAATAGCCTCAAGTCAGCAGAAGCCTGCTACCCATCCCAGCAGTCCTCACAAAGGCTTCTGTCAGTATTAGAGCAGGTAACTTGACTCCATTCATGAACTCACAGTGCCCCAAAAGCACATGAGGCCTCAATGGCACTGTGGGCAAGCTTCTTAAGGGAGGTTTTCACACACTCCTTAAGCTTCTGGACCACTACAGCCCTTCTACTGTTACACTCATCAGGCATTGCTGCTATGTGTGACAGAGTAACATGAGAGCTCGTGTATGACATGACTTGCTATATTTAGGGGAGAGGAAATGGACCATACTAAAGAAGGTCACAAGGAATTTGCTCAGTAAAACATAGGCACCACATATTTATCTGTATGTACAGAAGGTGGAGTATAACCCAGTATTTAAGAGCTTGGTTTCTGGAGCTAGACTGCTTGGAATCCATCTCATCTCTACTAGCCATATGGCCTACTGCAAGTTACTTAATTTCTCTCAACCTCAATTTTCTTCTCCATAAAATGGAGTAATTATAACAATACCTTCTTTTTAGAGTTGCATAAGTTTTAAATGAGAAAATTTGTGTAAAAAGCTTATTCTCTGGCATATTCAAACCAAATCAAACTCACTGTCATTGAGTTGATTCTGACTGATAGCAACCCTCACTGGGTTTCTGAGGCTGTAGATCTTTATGGAAGTAGATTGCCCATCTTCCTTCTGCAGACCTGCTGGTGGGTTTGAACCACTGACCTGGTTAGCAGCCAAATGCCTTATCCACTATGCCAACAGAGCTCCTTTCTGACATATTAGTACTCAATAAATGCTTGCCAAACAAACAAATCCATAGTAGCCAGGAAAATAATATTGCTTTGAATCTAGAAAGTCTGGCTATTCCATATTTCTATACAATATGTTTCTCTATAGTTAAGTTTTTCATTTTTTTCCTTTCATAATGGTTGATAACTCTTACAGTAATTTGTAACCTACTAAAGCACAAGATATCATCAACTACAGCATCTCAGCATTACTAAAGCAACTGACAGTTAAGAAACCAAGAATGATGAGTGTCTGTGAGAGAAAGAATAGGGTGCTAGAACTTTGTAGTTCCTAGGTGTGGCCAAATGAACAGGTCAAATAATTTTGAAAGTGATGGAAACTATTTATTTCAATGTCTTAGATCAAAGATTTAACTACTCTACAGTATAATCATCCAACAAAATTTAGATGGGCCAGACCTGAAAGACTTCCACATAGACTTTCAGGTCAGCTGTAGTCTGTGTTGTTGTTTGATGAGTAACTGTGTGTGCACCATCATTCGGACTCCCTGGCTCCCCAGGCTGAAGAAACACAACCCTCACCAGTGGAAAAGCCTTTGTTTCTAAATGCCTATGAAAATGTCAATGTGCTCTGAAGACATTTTTCAAGGAAGACAGCAACTATATTTCTGGTTTTGAGTTCTCTTTATCCCCACTCCCTTCCTGTTTCTCTTCCTTCTCCCTCCAAAGCTCTCTCTCCTGAATCTCAATCTTTCTCTCTCTCCCTCCCTCCCTCTCTCTCTCTCTTTCTCTGACACATGTGCATACCAATCAAAATTTAACACCTTGTCCTTAGGACTATCATCAAACATTAATCTCTTGTATGGAAAATCTACCTTCTGGAAACTCTATGAAATGCTTGCTAATGTCTAACACTACCTATCTCTTAGCGCTCCTGCCAGGAATTTCTGAACTGCCTGGGATTGCCCCAAGCTATCACTACAGCCATGCCCAACTCAGATGTGCTAGAAAATGTCTTCATGTGTTTTCAAGGGATTAGGGTCCTGGAAGAAATCCTGGAAGAGATCCTAGTAAGATTCATCCCCTCAAGCTAAAGGAGGACTTCAGCTTGAGACCTGAGATGGGTGAAGTATTGTGTTACTCTGAAGAGAACAAATTAATCTTCCCTGACTGCTGGGAGGGATTTTGCCAAAGAAACAGCTAACGGGAAAACCAGTCCCTACTCTGTGATGATGACACAGTAAATAACCAGGCAACATTACTACCGAAGTGCTGACCTAACTCATAAATTGTACCCAGCCTCTGGGGAGCAATTTCTGCTGATTTGCTGCTTGTGCATTTAAAACAAACAAACAAAAAGGGAAGAGGAGGAGACAGGCATTGACAGTGCTGTGGGTGAACATTCTGAGAGTAAAATTAGTCTTTTGACCAAGACTTTAGTGATGGCTGGTGCTACTTCCGTAGTGATACTGCCTCGGAAACCCAAGGAGGGGTCGCTATGAGTTGGGTCCGACTCGACAGGCACATAACAACAACAACAAGTGCCCAGGCATGGGCTGGTTGGTGCCGTCTTCCCCAAGCAATTATTAATTTTATTTGCTGTAAACCATCATTTAATTTCCCAAATGGTTTGACTGCACCTGGAAATCACTAGATTCAGAGTGTGTTTCTTTTTTTTAAACTTCCTTTGCTTTTTTTTTTAGCAAAAATGCAGTGAGGCAGATGAAACACAGACTTCTGTGCACTGAAACTTTATTTTAAAACTTTTAAATGACTCACCAAAGTACTTAGATTGCTATGTTCTCTGTAATATAGAAATCTTCTCAAAGTCCTCAACTATGACAAATAATGAAAACTAACATTCTTCTGCTTTGCCTAGAAAATCTAGTTGATAACTAAAGAAATACCACACATCTAACTCAGACACATCTTTGGAAACACATGGAACAGCAGAGAAGAGCTAAGGAAAAGCCACTCACCCTCTGCATCTTCTGGCCGAGTAAGGTCGATGACACCTGGGCCCAGCTTTCCGTCTTCACTTGACTTCCCTGTTAACTGCGGCCCCAAATTCTCAAAGCGTGTTCTTTCCTAGAGGAAAGAATAATCAGAAGGTTTATTCTAGCTTCCAGAGCAGCCACTTTTCCTTCCAATTTCTATCTCACTTAATGGGCAAAACTTGGATTTATAAACATCATTTCTGACCAATGTAGGCTCAGAAATTCTTTCCAGAAGATTCCACTAGAGCTTGAATGTGGCATTGGCAGTGCCGACAGAATCTAAACCATAGTTCCTGTGAAGAAAGGAAACCTGTGACAGGGAACCTGCCAGAGCTGTACCGAACATCTTCTGTCTCTTGGACTTTCTCCAGTAACCTAAAAGGAATGCGATTGAGAGGTATACGCCAAAAGTGCCAAACACGAAGAAGCAATTCGTACTTAAAAGCACACTTCTACATTAATGGGAGAGGAATTTTCCCATTTGGAGATCATCGTTTGCACTGGTGTTCTGGGGAAGTACAAATCACAATGTTATGCAAGAGAATTTCAAGGACAATTCAAAGCAGGCAGACTAGATGATACCATATTGATACTACTGCTTTGACTAGAAGTTTAAACTCTGACTTCTGAAAAAGAGGACATCCTAGTCAGCCATCAAGTCATGAAAGTCAAATACTCCTGCCACTACAGGAGGAAGCCCCATGCTGTCATCCTTGTTAATCAGTTCTTCCAGGAGCAGAAGTCTGAAGCATTACAATGAAAGCTCCCTCTACAGCTCTCGGGATCAGTAGCAGAGGGCTACTGACCATCTTTAATAGGGTGTTCTTGTCTACAGAAACACAGCCCATCTACCCCTCTTGCGTCCGTGTTACTCTTCAAGCTCAAACTTGGCTTATGAATGAATGAAACCTTGTTGTTCATTACTATGAAACAATATTAAATGTCATGTCAGCTTGAATTTACAGACATGAAATAGAAGCTTCCAGCTCCGGGAATGGTTTTTGCATGTTATACTTAATGCATTATGCAGCAGTAGAGTGCTGATTGCTGTTCACTCTATTGTTCAATGACCTAGTTCTGTACTGAGCATGTTCGGCAGTAGATGGAAACACTGTGAGTCTTCTCTTCTATAAGATGTTTAGAAACTTGGAAACATTCTTAAAGAGCAAACATACAATTACTTGATAGAGGCTGTGCCTCATTTGTACAGCCTCACTACATTTGTGCTTTCTAATATGATTATTTTTGAATATCATTATATTTCTATAATTAATTCCCATCACTCAAATTGTGCAGGAACTCTTCCAGTTTCCCTTCATCATGATATGCGTTGGAATCTGTGCTGGAAGAAAGCACAGCGTAAGCCTTGCTTTAATCTAGCACCATTTTTATGAAAGATTTACAACAAAATTATTATTATGAATTTCCCCAACTGGGTAACACTAACTAGTTATAATAGCGGTATGTGGGAAAACCTCTGAAATGTAACACTTGTAGAAAACTGAATGAAAATAAAAATCAAATTAGGTATGGTTTCCCAATAGCTTCTGATGTGAAAACACTGCTGCACCACAAGAACAAATTAACCCAGATGCAGGACACAACAGAAAGCAACCCAAGCCATGTGGGAGTTTCCCACATTGTCTTGGGAGGACAGCTGCTTTTAATCAGCCCATTTCTACTTTCAAGTAGCACTTTTGGTTGTCATGATGTAGAGGAAAAGAATTAAAGTGAAGATGAGTAGTACCACGGAAAGCAAAATATTCAACCTTTGTTTTATCACATTGTTTCAAATTTCAAATATTTGCATGTGAATGGTTTCCCTATGTTAAATGCAAAAGGAGTTTTGATGTGACACCTGCAATCTTCTTGGAAGAACCACCTTTAACTGTATTTTCATGGGGGAAAAAACAGCTTTCTCTGAAAATCAACAGACCGTACTACCTATCAATATGCATATTTCAAGTATCTTTCTAGTCATTCATTCTCTTTGATTTTACCGGAAAATATTCTCAGTATAAAAAAAATAAAGTTCCTGAAAGAATATCAATATTTTGACAAGGAAGGAGAAGAGGGAAAATTACATGCCATGGTTTGTAAAATCCTAAGACAACAAAGCTTACATGATGATAATATCTTTTCTTTTATAAAAAATGAAGTGCACTCACAATTCAGTAGTATCAGCTTGTTTTTAATCATAACAAAAAACATTCAGAACATTCAACTACACATTCACAGTGTCTTTGAAGTCATACATTTTCTCCGACTTTATTGAAAAAAAAATTCTTCTGCCGAGATACTTTCTCTATAAAATATCAATATTTTGACAAAGTAGAAGTCAAGGCAGAATATCCCATGTAATACTTGTTAAATAGGCAGAAAATGAATCAATGATAAAAATTGTTTTGGGCAATAGACTGCATTGTAAATTTGGTAATATTAAGCACTTGTATTTGAGATTAAAGAGGGACCCTACAAAGCTATGCCCTTTCATATAAATTTCCACCTAGTCTCCCAGAAGATTTCCTTCTTTTCTTCAAAGAATAGCTCAGAATATTTATTTGCCAGCCACATAACTATAAGATAAGAGGGCCTGATGTCTATAAGTTAGCTCTGGGCAGCTGAGCTAAACAAAGATTTCACCAGTGAGGTTGAGCATGAACCCAGTAAATACAGGATGTGACGTGGGCAGAAAGATACTTTAGTTCCAAAAGGATACAAATTCAGGCCATTACAGGGAACTGGGATGCCCTGATAGGGACAAATATACACTATGAGTAGCAAGTTCTTAACTCCACATTTCTCTATGCACTTGGAGTAGCTCTTATAATCTATATCGTTCCCAAGAAACATGTTTTGAACATATAAAAAAATATTTCAGTGCTAATTGAATCCCAACCCCCTATGAGAATTCCCCAGTCTTCATGTGGGCAGTGAAATCCACATTTTACATTCAGCAATGTGATCAGATACTTACTTATGCATTGTCAGTCACAAACATGCAGGCAACATAAAAGTTACTGAAAAAATTAGTCAGCTCTGCTGTGTTGTAGGACTGTTGGCTCTCTAAGTGCTTTGAAATTATGATGTATGAGGTAGATGTTGCATATTAAATAAAGATATTTAAATGATAAAGCCCCCTTTAGTGAGAGCTGATGAATGTTAAATGTTACAAGCCACAAGACGGTAGCATCCATCATCTTCACATATTATCAGAGTCAGTGATGGGGCAGCCTCAGTGATGACAGATAGACTGCTACATTATTATCCCTTATTTCCAGAGTCACTGACCAAACCATTCAACTCCTCAGACATTATTTTTAACTTTGCATTAAATTAGCAGCTTTTCCCTCCCTACCACAGCAAGAGTGATCAGTTTTGTCTTTGCATCAGTGGAGAGAGAGAATAGATTTGGGGAACTAAAAGATCAGAGGCTTGTTTTCATCTAGGAAAAAAAAGTCAACTCCCTCTTACTGGCAACAAATGTAAAATTGTGATCTGGGGAAAGAACAGCAATGAAACAGTAAGCACACAATAATGGCTTTTCTTTGCACTTAGATAAAAGCTGAATTTTTGATGTGCACAGTATATTTTAATAAAATTTTATATACTATGTTTTATACACTTATTGGCTATTCCATAATAATGTGTGTGCTAACAGTAAAATTGCTCTTAAATTTATGTGTGTTATTTATACGTGCCCACGTAACAATGCTTTTTGTTGTAAAAAATATTCTGTTTATTAATGTAACTTTACAACCACTGCATCCAAGATCCGTGGTAAATTAATGACATTTTTATTATTTTATAGTGTCATTAAATTTTTACTGATCACTCCATCAAACAGAGGCAGTAAAGGCCATAATGTAAACTGGGACACTTAGATCAGGCAGCAGGAAGACATTCCATATAGGCTGAAGAAAACTGCTAGCTATAAATGATATTTATACCATCTTTAAGCATGTGAGAATACTTGGATAAGTTTGGCAAAACTGTTTCAGTAGTAGAGTGGATTGTGTACTTAAATAACAGTTTGCTTGCCAGTGAGACAAGCCTTTTTCAAACCATATGCAAGGTGACTGATTGCAACCATCTCCTGAAAAACAACACGTGAAATGAAATCGTGTATTGGGTACCTTTCTTTCTGGATTACAGAGCTTGACCACCTGTCCCATGCCTCAAACTATTTCAACATTGCACCCTTTTCTACAACTGAAATGGAAAATGTCACACACCCAGAAAGGCTTTTTGTTGCTGTTGTTGCTTTACAAATATATTTAAGTAGACATGTCTACACAATGCTGTGATATATTTTTCCCAATGGCCTAAATGAGCAGTATTTTACCAACCATTATACAAAAGTCCATTTCTAAAGAATTTCTGTATATGGGTCATTCATAGTAGCCACAGAACATACACCTAAAAGGCCATTATCTTATATTGTAGTTAAAATGAGTAAAAAAGATAATTATCTCATATTATCTTCACACTTATAATACGTTGTAAATAGATACTCTCCACTGATGCTCTTAAATAAATCTACATGTTTAATAACATAAAAGGTTATTAACTAATTGGCAAATATTCTGTTTACACAGAAAGAAAATAGCAAATAGAAAATTCTATTCTCATATAATGGTGAGTTTAGGATCATACATCCCCTACATTGGGATTTTGGCATGATTCTTCTTTAAGTAAATAAGAATTTTGTTGTTCTATCCTACTGATAGGAGCTCCAGTGGCATAGTGCCTAAGGCATTTGGCTGCTAACCAGAAGGCTGGTGGTTCAAACCCACCAGCCACTCCTCAGAAGAAGACTGGGCAATCTACTTCCATAGTGATAACTGCCTTGGAAACCCAAGGAGGGGTCGCTATGAGTTGGGACAGACTGGATGGCAGTGAGAGATGTTACTGGTGATGCAGTGGTTAAAGCATTCAGCTGCTAACCAAAAGATGCTCCACAAGAGAATGATGAAGCAATCTGTTTCCATAAAGACTTACAGCTTTAGAAACCATATGGGGCAGTTCTACTCTGTCCTATAGGGTCACTATGAGTCAGAATCAACTAGATGGCAGTGTTTTTTGTTGTTG